GATCTTTGAATTTATGTTTGCCCTTAATGGAATTCTCTTCTGACAAGTTTATTTATTGTTTATGGCCGATCTCCTTAACGTTCTTTATTCAACTTCATTCAATTTTCATTTCAAATATGATATGCTATCTAAAATAAAAGCTTATGTAAAACTGCTTTCTCTACAGTTGCTCTATTTAAAATTGACATCCCATCCCCTCTCCTTAACATTACCCTGCTTATTTTCTACTACTCACTTTGATTCTTATAAAATAACATCCAAATAGACTTTAAAAATTAGTTTTTATTGTTGTTTCTACTCCTCATATTTGTCTCTTAAATATACTCTTCTGTTTTTTTAAATTTTCTACAGGGGAAAAATAAACCTTGCTAAGGCTAAAGATAAATCAATAGCTAATTTTCAGTAATCATTTTACTGTATTTTTCTACTACTTGGCACAGATAATCATTACTATCCTCTTTAAACTTGTTTTAACTCCTTGTATTTCTATAAAATCAGGAAGTTCTACTTTTCCTCCTACTTCTCTGACCATTAATTCTGTGTCTCCTTAAACTTGTACAGTAGATGTGCTTATTCCCCAGAATTCAAACTCAGCACCCTGTTATTTGTACTCAACAATACTGTATCTACCTTATTAAGTTTTAACTACCAAATATGTAGAGTATCATTATCAGCTCACCCCACTATCTCACTCTTTGGAGAAGATATCCAACTACCAGTTAATCAATCATGTATTTTTAGATATACCACAATCATACCCAATTTCAAAATAGACAAAATTGGATTTACCTTAAAATATCACCCTCCTCCCTCACTATCCACCCAATTATCCAAACAACATATAGAGTACTATTAAAATACAGTAACCATTAACCACATGTGTCTATTTAAATTTAAATAAAAAATTCCGTTTTAATCATATTTCAAGTATTCAGTAGTCACATGTGGTTCAAATTAGCCCTATAATGGCTACAATCATCACAAAAAGTTCTAACAGACATTGCTAACACAGTATATAATCACAATTTTAAAATATACTCACACATGAGAACAAAAAAGGAATTTAAAAATATGAACAGTGGTTACTGGGGGAAATACAGAATAGGCGATTTCTTTTTCATTTTCCAAATATTTGCAATGAACCTATGAAATTTAATAATTAGAACAAAACCTGTTTTGGACTTTTTAAGGAATCCTATTTTATTCATTACTTTTACTTAATCTTCAAATACTTATATCCACTAAAGTCCTACTGATTTGATCTCAAATATTTTACTCTATATTTTTATTTCCCATATTTATACAATAGCCACTACCACATCCTATCTAAAATGTAAACCTGATCATAACCTTCCTCTGCTTAAAATTTTGTGGTATAGTGCAACAGAGATCATAATCTTTCTGAGCTGTAAGACTCCAATGAGAATTTGTGAAAGGCTAAGGATGAAATTCCAAAGATAAAACAAAAACATTCTGAAAATGTCACAAAATTTTAGGGTAGATCTCCTACTTTTAAGATAAATTCATTAATCAATTAAACTTCATTAACAGATTCATTAGTCTACTAAAATTAATAGATGCTATTGAGTTTCAAGATCAATTCATATTGCTTACACAAACAAAATCCAGGTTTTTAATAAGACTCTGATTTGGCCTCTCTATAGATATCTTTTGATACTCCTTGCCTTAAAGGCCCAGAAATATAAAAATGTGTATTAAAAAACAGATTTCAACACATAAATTCTCTTTACTTTCTGCTTCCAGTATTGAAGGATAGGAAAATCAAAATAACCATACTGTTGGAAATAACCAGAAAAGCCACGTAAACATGTATTTTAAAAATGTGTTTAAAAATACTGAAGAGCCAAAAAGACAGAAGAAAATTAAAGAACCAAAAACCCACAAAGGATTTATCATTTAGATCAGTATTTCCCATGGAAGTATCTGGTAATTCAGGTAGAGGTATCTAAAAGGATGGGCAAAAACTTTTGATATACCTGAGGGTTAAAGAAAAAAAAAAAAAAAAAAAAAAAGCTCAGTCTTGAGACCGGGTGATAAAAATTAGATAACTTCCCAAAGGCACTGGAGCTCATCTTCCAATCTTCTCAATTTCAAACAGGATTAAGGTGATGTGACTTGCTAATACCATTAACCATATGCCAAATGCCTCTGTGGAGGAAAGTAGTATTATCCAAGGCTCAAATTGTTGTTGCTGTTGTTGTTGTTATGTGCCGTCGAGTCGGACCCCACTCATAGTGACCCCTCTTTGGGTTTCCGAGGCAGTATCACTACGGAAGTAGATTGTCCCATCTTCCTTCCGAGGAGTGGCTGGTGGATTTGAACCGCCAGCCTTCTGATTAGCAGTCAAATGCCTTCATATCTAGTGCTCTGTAGTGCGTAAGGCATTTGACTGCTAACCAGAAGACTGGCAGTTCAAACCCACCAGCCACTCCTCGGAAGGAAGGTTAGGCAATCTATCTCCATAGTGATACCACCTCGGAAACCCAAGGAGGGGTCTCTATGAGTCGGATACAACCCAACATCAGTAAGTTTGGTTTTTCTGGTGAGTGTTCTGTAATGAATCACAACTAGCAAGGCACATGAGGAGACAAGATAAACATAATAAATCTATCAAACACAGACATTTAAATAACTATATTTAAAATCTCAAGGAAACAAAAGACTAAATATTTTAGTAGTTCAATAAAACACTTCAATAGTCAACAGAAGATATTCAGAATAATGCACAGAAAGACAAAAAAGTACATCAGATACAAAAGAAATACGGTAGAAAGTCTAAAATAAGAATAACAGGAATACTAGAGTACAAGCAAAAGATTAAGGAACAGATGCAATACTTCAAAAATTTTATAACACTAAATATTTTCCAAAACTGAGAAAAGACAAAAAGCCACAGATTCATGAAGCAATAAAAACCTCAAGAAGAATACACAAAAGAAAAAATCTTTTAGGCATATCATAGGCATATCATACTGCTAAAATCCAAAATGAAAACAAAAACCTTAAAAAAGCAACCTGCGATGCAGTGAATTACTTAATACGGTCCTTCTAGCCATAGTCCTCCATTTGTGATGTATTGTAAATTCTAGCCTCTCTAGGCCTGTGGTTATGATCCCATTTTGGAGTGAACTGTCCATTATGTTAATGAGGTAGGATTAGAGTGGTAGTATTTAAAATTACCATCTTACAAGAGGGTGTGACTCAAGTTTCCCACCCTTAGTTTTCTTAAGGGTATGGTCTGTATCTATTATGTATGAATACTATGGCAAAATTTTCTCTCTTGCTCTGGATAACACATCTGGTTTGTCATCATCTGACCTCTGGTTCCTAAGACTTGAACCAGCACCCTATCATCTGACCTGACTCACCAGATTTCGCAGCCTTGTGAGCCAGTAGTCCACTATCTGACCTGCTGATTTGGGTTCATCAGTCTCTGCAATGTGAGTGAAAAGAATCCTCCACACTGCCACCTGACCCATGGATTTGGAAATGGCCAACCTCTACAACAGTGCAAGCCATTCCTTAGTGAGTTCTGTGAGATATTACAGTGAATCATGGAACCCAAAGATGGGAGGGAAAGTACTGAGGGGAGGAGGTGTACCTGACATTAGTGATAATGGAGTGGTACAGCAGTTTGCAAAAGTAAGACAATTAGAACATGTGAAATCTCCACTTCTTAGAGACCAGCCTTTTGCTGCTCCTTCCAAAAGAAATCATTCATAGACACCCAGAGTAAAAGGAGAGTTTACCATAAAATAAATAAATAACAAACTGACAGTTGATTTCTATTTCTCTCTTCAATTCTGTCAGCTTTTGTTTCATGTATTTGTTAGGTGTATACATGTTTATAATTATCTTATCATACTAATTAATTGATCCTTTTCTCATTATAAAATGTTCTTCTTTGTCTTAAAGTCTATTTTGTCTAATATACCCACTTTTTACATGTCAACTATCTCAGTATCTGACATTTCGCATCTATGACAATGATCTACGTCTGGCAGTAATGAATGTCAAGGTGTTAGGTGAGAGCTAATGCTGGCTGTAATAGTTAAAGTTACATGTCAACTTGGCTGGGCCAGGTTTGACATTTATGCAATGATATAATTTTCCTGTTACGTAATGATGGAATTTAGCAGTTTTGGAATGAACTGGATGATAGTGAATGAATGGATGATAGTCATCCTCCACTTTGTGATCTGATGTGGTCATCCAGCATTTTACCATAATGTCCATTTCACATAAAGACCTAGTCTTTGTAACCTAACCGAGTCAGTGAGGAGTGTATTAGCACAGCCACTCTACTTGTGTTTGGTTACTGTTTAAACGTATTATCTTTTTCCATACTTTTAGTTTCAACTACTTTGTATCTTGGTATCTAAAGTATGTGTGACACTAAGTCTTGACTCTGTCATTTGTATTTGCATGACCCTAGGTAAGCTTTTCTAAACATCAATTGCTTCATATGTAAAATGCAGATAACACACAGTACGAGTGTTGTCAGAATTAATTAAGATGATATTCATGAATTGGGAAATCTGGTGGCACAGTGCCTAAGGCATGTGACTGCTAACGAAAAGGCTGGCAGTTCAAACCCACCAGCCACTCCTCAGAAGGAAAATTGGGCAATCTACTTCCTAAGTGATATCGCCTCGGACACCCAAGGAGGGTAACTATGAGTCAGATCCAACTCAATGGCAGTAAGCTTGGTTTGGTATTTTTGGAGTTGCACTCAACATAAATAATAGATATTTGCTAGTTTTACAATTGGGAGCTCTGGTGGCTTAATGCCTAAGGCATCTGACTGCTAACCAGAAGGCTGGCAGTTCAAAACCATCAGCCGCTCCTCAGAACGAAGGTTGGGCAATCTACTTCCATAGTGATACTGCCTCGGAAACCCAAGGAAGGGTCTCTATGAGTCAGATCCGACTCGATGGCAATGGGTTGTTAGGGTGTTTTACAATAAAATGAATCCTTACCTTTTCTGACAAATACTGTTCATAAATTCCAACAGCAGCTGCTCTTAAAAGACCTTTTGTTTGATTGGTTTGATGTTTTCCATCTTTCTGACGACTTAACAAAACCTCTAGCTGCTGCTGGGCTGTGACTCGGTATCCTTCCACTGTCATCCAGAAGAAGAGATGTGCCTGACCTCCAGTTTGCTGCATGTAATCTATAAAACAAAATTCAAACAACACAGACTAATATTAAAGTCACATATTTTGAGTGCATGCAGTACAAGTAGGAAGGAAAAAGTAAAGTTTCAAGTATTTAACATTCTACATTTTGAAAATATTAACAAATGCATGAGATGAAATAACAATTAAAGCAAAAACTGGTAAAGCTGAAAACACCAGTTTCACAGGAAACACAATGAAGCATATATTGAAAAACAAAAAAACCCACTAATCAACAACTTCATTAGGAAAGGAAAGAGACTCCAGATTAGTAAAACACTACTAATGAAAAACAAAGGGGGAGATCTCACACTCTCTGATCTCAAAAGCTATTACTACACAGCCAGGGTAGTTTAAAATAGCCTGGGGTACTGGTGCAATGACTGGCACACAGACCAATGGAACACAATTGAGAACTCAAAAGTAAATCCATCTACCTATAAAGCTTATCGTTGACAAAGGTCTGAAACTCATGAAATGAGGAAGGCATAGTTTCTTTAATAAACGGTGCTTATGAAACTGCATATTCATTTGCAGAAAAATGTTAAGGGGCCTAGTATCTCACACCATATGCAAAAATGAACTCAAAACCTAAAACTTAAAGACCACCATAAAAAAAATAGGGATAAAGTCAGGGGCTCTAATACATGGCAGTAAATACACCATGGAACAGAATTAAAAACATACAAACAACAGAATAAAAATGGAAGACTGGAACCTCCTAAAAATTAGACACTTAGGCTTATCAAAAGATTTCACCAAAAGAGTAAAAAGAGAATACACAGACTGGGAAAACAAAATTTGGCAACAATATATCCAATGAGGAACTAATCTCTAAAATGTATAGAAATGTCAACATCTTAACAATAAAAAGACAAATATTCCAATTAAAAAATGAGCAGAAGATATGAATAGACATTTTGCCAAAGAAGACATTCAGGCAAGACAGAAGACAATACATGAAGACATGCTCACAATCATCAGCCACTAGAGATGCAAATCAAAACAACAATGAGGTATCATCTCACCCCAGCACCAACAGCAAAGTTAAAAAAAAACAGAAAACAACAAATGCTAGAGAGCTTCGGAGAGACTGAAATCCTCATACACTATAGAACTGTAAAATGGCATGACTACTGTGGCAAACTGTGTGGCACTTCCTAAAAATGCTAGAAATTGAAGTACCAGGTAACCCTGCAATCCATTAGTAGGTATATATCCTAGAGGAATAAGGGCCATGACAGAGACACATATGCACACCCATGTTCAACACAGCACTATTCACAAAAGCAAAAAGATGGAAATGACCTAAATGCCCATCAACAGATGAATGGTTAAACAAACTTGGTACATACACACAATGGAGTACTACACAATGTTAGAGAACAACGTTCAACCTAAGGACCATCTCATATGAATGAACCTATAGGACATTATGCTGAGTGAAACTGTAGTTGTTGTTAGCTGTTGTTGAGTCAGCTCTGACTCAGCAACTCTATGGACAACAGAACGAAAACACTGCCCAGGGTCCTGCACCATCCTCACCATCCTTGAGCCCATCAGTTAATCACAAAAGGACAAATACTGTAGGAGACCACTACTGTAGAAACTCAAGAGAAGGGTTCCACACAAAAAGAAATAATTCTTTGATGGTTATCAGGGGTGGGAGTAGAAAGGAGGGTAAACCACTAACTAGACGGTAGACTCTAGTTAACTTGGATAAAGACAAAGACAATAAAAAAAAAAGAATAAATAAAAAATCCTATTAATCATGATATAATCTCTAGGGAATACATTTATTGTATAACAGGCTTCATCAGAAATAAAAAAGAAAATTTACCAATATTCAGCTTCTCTTCTCAATAAAGATTATTAATTATGATATATTTCCAGAGCTATTAAAAATAAGGATTGGGTTCTACAAGCTAAGCATCAATTATTTTTTATCATGAAAATGAAGAACCAAAGAATTTCACTGAAAACGTCTTCCAGATAAAAGCAATTTAATGTAATATTAATAAAATGCATATGTGTGTGTGTGTGTGTACAAAATAAATGCAAAATCTCTACCCTACTCATGCCCAAAAATGATATAAACAGGTAATGTACATAGTGTGCTGACAATACTCTTTCTCAATGAATTTAAATTTATAGTAGAATCTCCTACAGCTTATTTTCAAAGCAGCTTAGCAAATGTACATTAGAATTATGATAAGCGTTTATACCCTGCAAAGCAAAGTAAGTATCTACTGCCATGGTTTGCTAAGAAAACTGATGCAGAGAATAAACAGAGGGGGCTGCGCATTGTTACTCATATTGTTAGCTGCTATCACATCAGCCTTGACTCACAGTGACCCATGTGCAATGGAACAAAATGCTGCCCGGTGCTGCATCATCCCTGTGGTCGCTTGCAGATCAGTCCATAGTGATGCACAGGGCTTTCTTTCACTGGCTGATTTTCAGGAAGCAGACTGCCAAGCCTTTCTTCTTAGTCTGTCTTGGTCTGCAAGCTCAGCTGAAACTTGTTTGGCATTACAGCAATACTTAAGCCTCCACTGACAGATGGTGGCAGCACACAAATTGCCTTAAGTGGAAATTGAACCCAGGTCTATGGCATGGAAGGCAAGAATTCTACCACTAAACCACCAATGTTTCTTGCTCAATATTTAGTATTTATATTTTATAATATGCAAAATTATCAAAATTTTCAAGTGATGTATCATTTTCATACAATGGATTTACCTACCCATAAAAAATTGTAGTGCAACATTGTCTACAAGAATGCTGTCCAAGGGGACTGTGCAAAGTTTCCCAAAGTTTGCTGCCAGTTTCACAGTATTTATTTCCTATAGAAAAAAGTGAAAATAGGTAAATATTTTATCTATTCATTCAATTAGGTTAATAAAGATCTTAATATAAATGAAAAATAATCCTTACTCAATTAATATAGAATGTATTATTCCCTTCTCATGCATGTGGGTTCCAAAATAAAGTATTTTCACTCAGTGAATTTAACCTCACAGAATTTCCAAGAGTTATTTTAAGTTATTGTTTAATAAATATGTTAAAGATATGATAAATCACTATATTTCCAAGTATTCTTCTGTATTTTCCAAATGAAAATGAGTATTTCAGGGACAAAAGGGGGATAATGATGGTTATGGTTGATATGTCCAAGAATAAAAGAATATCAACATTCTCAAGTATAAACTGAAGTCTATCTTGTCTGAAAACAAAAATATTACCAAAGAGCAATTTTGCATCTAACAGTAAAAACCTTACACTCTTTGCTGATTATTTCTTTTCAGACTACATATACATATAATTCTCAAAGTCATAAAGCAAGATAACTATGTATGAAAAAAAGGGAAAGCTTGAGTTCAAACTTTACTAAACACCTCTGTCAGTCTTTATGCTAGGTATTAGGAGCTCTGGTAGCTTAGTGCCTAAGGCATTTGACTGTTAACCAGACGGCTGGCGGTTCAAACCCACCAACCAGTCCTTGGAAGGAGGTTGGGCAACTTAATTCTGCCTCAGAAATCCAAGGAGGGGTAGCTATGAGTTGGATCCAACTTGACGGCAGTGCCTTGTGTTTTGTTTGTTATGCCAGGTACTACACACATTATTTCATTTAATCTCCACAGCAACCCTATTGATTAATCAAAACCAAGCCCACTGCCATCAAGTCAATTCTGATTTACAGCAACCCACAGGGTTTCCAAGGTTGTAAATTTTCACAGAAGTAGATTGCCTCATCTTCCTCCCATACAGCAGCTGGTGGGTTTAAACTGCTGACCTTCTGGTTAGCAGCCAAATACCTTAACCACAGAGCAACTAGAGCTCCTTATCCTACTGACTATATATCACCAATTCCATTTGACAGGAGTTCTGGTAGCATAGTGACTAAGGCACCTGACTGCTAACCAGAAGGCTGGTGGTTCAAACCCACCAGCCACTCCTTGGAAGGAAGGTTGGGTAATCTGCTACAATAGTGATACCACCTTGGAAACCCAAGGAGGGGTTGCTATGAGTCGGGTTCTGACTGGAGTGTAAATAACAACAACAACAACAATTCCATTTAACAGATAAGAAAACTAAAGATCAGATAAGTTGCCTAAGATCACAAAGCTGTTAATATGTCTGTGTTTTCAAAGCCTGCTGCCTTTTCCACTAAAACCCATGATGTTTCTATTAGCTACTTTCACTAGCTTCTCTGTATTCCCAAATCCCTAGCTATTTCTTAAACATAAATCACAACCTCTATTTAGGAAAAGTAAATACAGGCAGGTTTTTTGTAAATCAGATGAACCACCCTATTCAGAGGCAGATACCAAATTAGGCATAAATAATGTACAAAGAAGAAAAATATGTAAAAAAAAAAAAAAAAGTTTTCTCAGTAATTAGTATCTTCCCTCATATACAGACTAAATGATAACATATAATGACCTTTAAATATCTGGCATAAATCAGTCTAGTACTAGCACATGATTTCTCCTGTCCAAGTCTTCTTTTTTTCACATTTTATCACCTTTCTCTGGCTCAGCAGATGTGGGATGGGGAAAGTATTCACTATTTTGTAAGACTCACTTTATCTGTAACACGAAAGGAAAAAGGGTCTTCTAAGACTTCAAGTTGTTGTAATAACAACAACAATAAGACTTTAAGATGAGTGGTCTGGTTAAGAAACTGTATCTACCCAAAGGATGTTCTGAAGTTTTCTCCAAAAGGAAAGCACTGTATGACTGAAGCTATTAATAAGGTAAAGGCTGATATTCAAAATAGAAATGAAAGAATAACTGACACGGTATCAAAATTTTAAAAGAGCTCAATACCAAGAAGAGTCATCACTAATTCTAAGATACAGATAAGGTAGTCAGGTAAAAAAACAATGAACATAAGTAAAATCAAATCACTATGCAGTCCTCAATTTGCATGTGTATGATCAACTTGTTTTAAAATACCATTAACTAAGCATAAACAAACATACAGACACACACACACAGGCACAAACAATTATGGGCCTCAAGTAACTGTTTACAATAAAGTGATAATATATCTAGCAAACTAAACTTTAAATTTTAAAAATAGGTTTTATATTCCTTAAGGAACTTTATTACAAAATTATAAGACTAGAGAGTCACAAATAAATTTTCAGTACAGAAAAACAGCACAAAAGACCTGACTACATGAAAATCTAAAGGTAATAAAAAAAGGTTTTTTCCATTTTAAAGCCCTAAATCTCTGCTCTCCTGTGTAGTAACACTCCTCCCAAGAGCTATCTGTAATGACTATCTCTAATTTATCTCTTAGATTCATCTCTTCTCTCCTGGAACTGACAACTTCAATCAGGAGTCCTCTCTGCTACTCCATGGAAGTTGCTCTCATCTCATCAGATCACCAATAATCCTCATTGTGACAACCCAATGGTCAACTCTCAGTCCTCATCTTACTCAAATTTCCAGTAACTTCACGTACCTGTCCTCTTACACCTTCTTTGAACACTTTTTGCACTTGGCTTCTAGGATATCTCACTTCCAGGTCTGCCTTCAATCTTACCAGTCACTTACTTACTCTTTATTTTTTTGGCTGGATCCTCCACACTGTCCTAAACTTTAACTTACATTCACTCTTTTATAAAGTATCATTTACTCTCTTAACTTTAAATAAATATCTGATATTCCTGAGGATTCTCAAAGTTTATCTCCAGCCCTAACCTTTCCTTTAAACCCAAGATTACAAATTAGCATGCTTACTTGACATCTAACCGATCTCAAACTGAAATACTGAAACCTTGATTCTCTCTCCTCCACCTCCTCCTTCTTCAGGTTTGTTGTTGTTGTTGTTATGTGCCGTGGAGTCGGCCCCGACTCATAGCGACCCCTCCTTGGGTTTCCGAGGCAGTATCACTACGGAAGTAGGATTGCCCAAGTTTACTCATCTTAATAAATGACTAGGCATGCAGCTGCTCAAGCCAAAAACCTTGGAATCATTCTTGACTCCTTTTTTTCTTTCTCATCCCATAGTCAATGAATTATCAATTCCTATTAACACTGTATCAGGTCTCCAATCACTTCATATAACATCCACAGTCATCTCTTAACTGAACCAGAGCAGTAGTCTTGTAAGTGTTCTCCTGGGCAACATGATCATTTAAGTTCATAAGTCAGAAAATGTCATTTGCTGGGTTAAACCTCCAGTAGATTCCCGTAACACTTAAGATAACCTAAAAATCCTACTGTGGCTGGTAAGACCACACATGATTTAACCTCCTGGTTCCTCTCAAAGGTTACTGCTACCAGTCTTTCTCATTTGTCCCATACCAGCCAAAATGACCTCAATACTGGTCCTCTAATTTACCAAGTATGTTTCTACTCCAAGGCCTTTGCCTTTCCTCTTACCTCTGCCTTAAAAATTCTTCCAAGAACGTCCAGAACTAGCTCCTTCATGTTTCTCAGATCTCTCTATACTCCAATGTCCTCAAATTTCTCATCACCTACCTAAAATACTTCTCTATCCCCTCACTAGGCACTCTGGTGGCATAGTGCCTAAGGCATTTGACTGTTAACCAAAAGGCTGGAGGTTCAAACCCACCAGCCACTCCTCGGAAGCAAGATTGGGCAATCTACTTCCGTAGTGGTACCACCTTGGAAATCCAAGGAGGGGTCGTTATAAGTCAGATCCAACTCAATGGCAGTGAGTGAGTTAGTTAGATCCCCTCACTTTGCTTTACTTACTTTTTTCACAGGGGAGGGATTTACTCCCAAAAACCAAACCCACTGCTAAGTCAATTCTGACTGAAAGCCACCCTACAGGATACAATGTAACTACCACAAGGGGTTTCCAAAGCTATAAATCTTTACAGAAGCATATTGTCACATCTTTCTCCTGTGGAGTGGCTGACGGATTTGAAGTATTGAACTTCAGGTTAGTTACTGAGTACTTTAACCACTGTGCTACTAGGCTCCCTCAGATATCACTACTTGAGTCTCTTATTGGATTATTTTCTAAGTCTGCAACATAAACTCCAAGAATAGAGACATTTTATACATTTAGTCCACCTAAAATGATGTCCAACTCACAACATTCAATAAATGTTGAATGAATGACTAAATAAATAAAAAAGGGGATAAAATAAGATCTTAAATTATTTTAGCATTTTTTGAGCAGTAGTTTAATTTCTTTAGTTTGGTTTAACTAACATTTATTGGACTAACTGCATAAAAGAACATTTCCTGATACTCTTTTTGTAGACTACAACATTGGTTAATTTCCTACTTTTAGGCATGTACTAAGCATTTTAATTAACTGAAAGTATTTATAACTAAATATTAATTCAAAAGTCTTTTACTTACTTTGCCTGACTGCAACCGTTGTATTCTTGAATCACATACTTTCTTTACAAATAATAGGCTATTTATTTGATTTTTGATAGTGTTGATATCTAAACATAAAAAAATTAATTATTAATTAGAAAATGGTAATGTTATTTGTGAAATACTTTAAACATGCATTTACTCTAATAACCAATGAATGGAGCAATAAAAGAAATGATCTGAAATTATATACAGTTAAATTACTTAATTAAAATCAAGCCATGCCAATTATCTTTAAGGATCAGTGCAATAACAGTCTCATATTCAGAAAACAATGTTTTATTCTTAGTACATGATAACTTAATAAGGAATATTTTATTAAGGTGAAAACAATAACATCAAATAACATTTAAGTCTATCAAAATTTCATCTGAAGGCATCCATACTGGTAAGGAAGAAGTCAAACTATCCCTATTTGCTGATGATATGATCCTATACCTAGAAAACCCAAGAGATTCAATCAAAAAACTACTG